ATTCTGATCATCAATTTGTAATGGAGGCCAGCTGGTAAGAGTTGTGTGAGTAAACCTCACTCCACTGTTCTTAAGAGATGCACTACCGACTGATGCTAGAGGCTGCGGTCTTTAGCGTCCTTGTCAGTGTGCTTGCCTCCCATCGCCGTTTTAAATCCTGCTCGGTGATCAAACATTTACTTATATGTCAGAACCCCTCTGGTACAGTCGTCCATGGCAATATTGTATATCATCTGGGTAACTACCACTGGTGTCATGAACAAATGGGCTTAAATATGGCTAAAATATTTATGAAATGTAGTCTTAAATTGAATTATGTAAATTAATGTAAATTATAAATGAAATATTACTAATAATGTTAAATATTCAAAGCCATACATTGTAAAAATAAACATTCCATGTTCTTATCTGATCAGCATAGTGTAGTATAGCCTGCCTGCTTAATAAATCTAATATTGTCTTTGATCTTTTGATAAAAACATGCAATTAATTAAAAAAAATCACATTTGTAATATTTACCCTGAAAAAGATCACTTGTTAATACAATAGCAATGCTAACACACTGGAACAGAAAACCATAGACTGTAAAAAAAAAAAAAAAATAGATTGATGACACATCTCTACTCTCTTCCACTAGTATTTTCCTGCCATGAGGGCATAAACATTTATGATGTAGCCTTGTGCACTTACTAGACCATCTTATTAGTTTTTAATGATGAGCAGGACTCTTGCCTTGAACATTCATCAGTGCGATAAGAACTACGTAAAATGACAGAAACCATCTTTGGGATAAAAATATTTTAAGTGTAACTTGATTTTTAGTTTGGCTCATGTCCCATTTGTTTACATGGAGAGGTTAAGGTTTATGACCTGTACTACAGCCAGCAACCTGGGGGTGATTGAAACATTTTGGCTTCACTTTTCAGGACTTGTGCGGCACTTGCAGAGAACTGAACTGACTATCACTCAGTGATAGGTGACCTACTATCATGGCCTGAAGTGTTACTACTACTACAAAGGGCTATCCTAGGCGGACCCATTTGTTTATGACACCAGTGCTACTTTCCTGTCGCTCATATCACACTGAGGACTTTCATACAAATGCAGCTGGAACTATCTTCCTTCAACTACAACATCGGTGTCACACAAGAAAGACAGCAGAGTGTGGATGAGTTTTTAGCTTAAGTTCAAAACCTCAAAAAAATGATGTAGCTACAGAATAATAGATGTTTATAGGAAATAAGACATTATCCCATTTCGGGACCCCCCTCCTGTTTTTTTGGTGTCACTTTCATTAACACTGAAAAACAACGATTAAAAACCTAAAAAAGTTCCTAATATGTGGCCTGTTAACTATTTATATTATGGGGGAGGGGTCAAGTAACACAAGCAAGCAATGCGCAAACTGTGCGCAAGAGTTATGCCGGTGAAAGTAAAAAAAACTGACAGAGCTTTCTAACGCTGCATTAACGACGCATATTCTCTGAGAGACAACGAGAGACGAAACTACTTCAACATATGGTGATAACGGTATATAACTGTCTTAAATTATTCCCTAATATTTCTCTTGTGGCCCATATAGTGAAAAACATGAGAAGAAACATATTTCGCGTTAAACAGGTTGTTTTTGAAAATCGGTGCACGAAAGCTGCTCTTAATTTTCACTGATGACTGCAGTGCAAGAATTTTAATTATAGGCCTATAATTCATTATATAAATTATCAGACCTGTTTAAAAAAACGTTTTAAAAACATTTTCAATGAGGAGTAAGCTAATAGCCTAAACTTTAATTATCCTCATAACGCGTCATGCTATGAAATTATTGCGGGGCAATAATTTCATGTAATTTAATAATAAAAGTAACCTAATAATAATAATAGGCCTAATAATAAGAATAAGAATAATTTAACAGGCCTACATTAATTGGAAATGCTAAATCCTCTTAATATTGCCTATTTTTGATGCTTTTGACAATATCTCTGGCTATCGTCGACACATGATACGACACATCACAAAAATAGTTAGAATGTACCATGTTTTCCTGCCAGTTGTCATTGAGAGTGTCTGACACTTGATGGTCAGAAAAAATTACCAAATAGATATGTGTAAAAATAAATAAATAAATAAAGAAAATAAAACAATAAAAAAGAAAAAAAAAATCCCTACTTATGTGCCTTCATAATTTTATTAATTTGTAAGTGTCATATTTGGCAGTTGGCATTAGAAGTTATATCACTAATAACAGTGGCATATGAGAAGTTTAATACCACAGAAAAAATGTAAAATGTGCCTTTTTCGAAGCTGATGTATAACACAAGGTGGCTGAATTTGCATGTTATTTAGATAGCTTAAGCTTATAGGCGTTCATTAATTTCACTCAGTTTATTTAGTTTTTTAGCACCCCCTCTGAACTGTTAAGTAAAAGTTTAGTAAAAGTTTTGAGTTTAGTAAAAAATATATAATAATAATAATAAATATAGCTGCAAGCAGCGATGGCGGGCCCAAGCCGTTAGTGCAAACGCCACCCCGGTGGCATCAGGAGAACGGTGCACAGTGGGCACATGCATTTACAGTAACCATCCGGCAGTCTGGTTTTAAGGGATACTGCAATTAAAGAGTTAATCCGAACCATATAGACACATAAACACAACAATATTTAAAACTTTGGTAACACTTTCAATAAGGTTTCAGTTATTAACATAAAACTATGTTAATTAACATGAACAATAATTATGTAGCATTTATTAATGTGAGTCTCTCTCTCTCTCTCTCTCACACTCACAGGGCAAACCGTTCGAGATATCAAAAATCCCTTGGCAATTTAGCATCCCCAATGTCTTGAGATCATGTTCACCGAGTTTGGTGGTAATCTATTTGAAATCCTCAGAGGAGTATATCAAATTCCAGAGCATGCACTTTTCGCAAAACCTTAAATAGCCAACTTCCTGTTGGGCAGAGCACTGATGGTCAGCATGAAAGTTGTTCGGCCTGATGAGACCTATATGTGTATGAATTTTGGTGAGTGTAGATCAAACGGTGCGTGCTACTGAGCTCCTGAAAAGGCTGTGCCGTAAAAATTTATAAATCGTATTATTTAAACACATGATAATAGTTGCTCAGTGTGTTAATAAATGCTTTATTAACATCCTGAAATGTCGCCTTTTTAAAGGCTGTGCCACGCCCCCCCCCGGTAACCCCCCCATGTGAAACTCAGACCAGCCCTGATGGCCGCAGATTCCAACATGTGTGCAATGTTTCAAGAGTTTTCGAGTATGTTAAGGGCCCCAAAACCCCCAAAGACCTTGAAAGAAAAATAATAATAATAATAATAATAATAATAATCCTTAGAAAAACAATAGGGCCTGCGCCTTACTGGCTTGGGCCCTAATAATAATAATAATAAACATTTATTGTAAATGTTACCACGAGCACATTTGGTAACATTGGTTAAGTTCGGGGTGCTAGGTGTGGCGGAACAGAAAGTATCCAGCAGAGGGCAGCAGAAGCCGGATGTCTGACTTACCCGCTGTGATAATGCTGGTCGAAGAGGTTGATTCCTAAAAAACAAAGTTTAGTTTTTACTCCAAGTTTAAGTATTAGCCGTCCACGTTACTCGGTTGTTATATTGAATACTCACCTGAGGAACAGAGGCCTCTGATGGCGGAAGATTCACAGTGATTTTCACTGTTTTTTGACCAATATTGAGCTCATGCGTTTGTTTGTTTAGAACCCGCTGTCTCACTGTGACATACATAAGAACATAGGCCTATATGAGTGAACAAACTTATTAAGTTTCATTTGCACTTTTACGCAAACAAATTTGAACAGTTTCCTTTCTTGGACTCCTCCCACGGTAACTCCATAACATGTTTCGAGATAATTAAGCTAGCTATAATTAAGAAACTTCTAATATTAGGCATCACTTTACGCTTTATACATGATATAGCCTATAGCCTAGTAACAGTTATAGAAGTTCAGGCAACTTTACCTTCCTTTGATTTGAACCGAACAGTTGCTGTCTGTCCGCCAGAAACAGGGTACTCCACCTCACAGTCGCCTCCGTCGGATTTCTTACTACTCTGGAAATAGATGATAAGTTTGTTTTTTAGTTTGGAAGTTAGGGGGTCCCACTGGCCCTCCACATAGAGAGCGAATGGAAACTCATCAGTAGCCATTTCTGCCTGTCCTGTGACTGAGGTGTTTGTTGAACTCAGTGTAAAGACTTAGACTTTCACTTTTGATTTCTCTGTATATGGTCATGCATCAGGCGAGGTTTTTCCACAACATAAAAAAACCGTTTCAGCTTCAAGCAGAAACCCGTTTGTAGTAGGCTAGTCTCTTCTTTTCGAAACTTTGAAACCATCTCTGTTTGGGTAAAACTAAGGACGTATTGCAGAATAGGAAATAAAAAGGTGAGTGACCAGATTCTCGTAATAGGTTATTTAGTAGCTATAGCCTCTGTGCGCATTTAATGCATTGAAGGTCGCACAACTGCTTTTTGCTTTCGATTTCAATTTTAACAAACTTTTTAATGTGATTTTTGGCAGTCATCGACGTGCCTGTCTTGACAGAAGTTTGTCAAATCCAACGTAAGATTTGTTTGTAATTTCAAAAACAAGGCTAGGCTACTTCAGTTAGGCTACGTGTTACTGGGGAACTTTGGTCCTTAGCGATCAGGATTTCTTGTGTCGTAAATGACGGACGTGTTTCAACTTTACAAACACGATCTTACGCTTCCTTGTATAAAATGCTTTACATCAGTGCAAACTTAAACTATAGTATAGGCTAGTTTTACTCGCTTTATTTTTAGTGTGTTGCGGAATTGTCCAGTTTTGTTCGAGTTGTTACGGTAAAAGTGGTTAAACCTGTTTGACATCTTTCTTCAGATCTTTCTTCTGCCTCAGTCACCATTTACTTTCATTGAATCTTTTATTTTTATTTATTTTTTATGTTAATTAATGGTGACTGAAAATTTTCGGTCACACTTAACAATATCTCATTTGTTTACATTAGTTATTAATTCTTGCTTAGCATAGCATGAACTATAAGCAAAATAATTTTACAGCATTTATTGACGTTTGTTAATGTTACCATTTAGCAGATGTTTTTTTTTATGCAGAGGGTTACAACGAGCAAATCATTTTAAGGAGGCAACCTTATTAGAAGACTTTTCTTAGAATTTGGACAAAACAAAGTCAAGAACCTTTAGAAAATGTAGTTCTCAGTGGGACTATTAAAATTACCAAAAGGAATAAAAGCCACTAGGCCATTAAAAGGAATTTCAAGAAAATTATTTAGGATATTGAAACTCATGTAGGTATTTCTCAGTCTCATGTCGCTGAACTCTCCATTAGTAAGATGTTATTCCAATACAACTATTAGGGATACAATAATCATTACACAATATTCAGTAGGACTGTAAAAATTAAATACAAATTTATAACTTAACCTATTAGCATCTTATTTTTTAGTATGCTTTAGCATTGTTTTTAAATTAAGTAAGAAATCCCAATAGAAATCCTGTACACATTCCAATAGGATATTTTGACTAATGAATCTGTGGTCAAATATCTTTGTATAATGATCAATACTTTATTTCCACAGAGGTCTGTGTCCTGAGGAAGCAACGAGCCATGAGTGACAAAGAACAGAATTTCCTGCCACTGGTTACAGGACAGGCTGCCATTCTAGGAAAGTGTAAAAGTGCCTTTTGCCATGCTGTTAAAGAAAAATTTAATTGCACCGCTATTCTTCACAATGTGGAAGAGGCTGGTTCCTTTGGTAGACACACAAGTGGTGATTGGAGTGCTGAGATGAGGTACTCCACAAAGCTGTCCAGCAGAGTTGAAGTATCAGTCTGGAAAGATGATCTTACACGTCATAAAGTGGACGCTGTGGTCAATGCAGCTAATGAGAAGCTAAATCATGGAGGAGGTCTTGCACAAGCCCTGAGTGAGTGTGGGGGACCAATGATCCAGAAATGGAGTGATGACATTATACAGAAATGTGGAAGAGTGAAAACAGGCGAAGCTGTTTTCACTCCTGCTGGAAAACTCCCATGTAAATATATCATACATGCTGTGGGTCCCAAAGTGTCTCAAAATCCATCCAAGAAAGAGGTCAAAGGAGCTGCACCCTTGTTAACTAATACTGTCATTAGTATCCTACAAACAGTTATAAGTCAAAACATTACCTCTGTTGCGATTCCTGCTTTAAGTTCTGGCCTTTTCAATTTTCCAAGAGATTGCTGTGCAGACATTATTGTTGATACTATAAAACAGTTCTATGAAAATGGAAGGTTTCGAGACAAGAATGTAGAAATCCATCTGGTCAATAATGATGAACCCACAGTCCAAGAAATGGAGAGAGCCACTAGGGCGGTTTTATATCCGACCAGCACCTCTGCTTTGTATAGTGGGGCTGTGAAAGGCCAAAACCAGACCATGACTTCCCCTTCATGCAACAGTTTGCGGTTTGAGAACATAACACTGCACCTTAAAAAAGGGTCTATTGAAGAGGAAAAGGTAAGACTGAAAAATGTCTAGTACTCATAGAAAAAAAGAAGAGTGATCAATTACAAAGCTCTGAAGTTCAATCAGATTTATAAGAACACAATGGTTTTGTATCATTTTGAGTAAGTTCTAAAAAAGTTTGTTTGATATAAACCATGGAATTGTAAGAACAAATGAAAATTGGAAAAATGGTGGGGGAAAACATTTCATGTGCTTCTTTTCACTTTGCTTCAATCACCAGGTTGACGTAATTGTAAATACCATAGCACCAAACTGTGATTTGTCCCAGGGGCTGATTTCAAGAGCAATTTTAACGAAAGCTGGCAGCAAGATTCAAGACGAGATTTACAAAAAAAAAACCACTACCCCAAGTTTCACAAGAGTTCATCTCTATGCGACAAAAGGATATAATCTGAATTGCTCAGCGGTTTTTCATACTGTATGCACACCGAGGTCTGAGTCTAAGGCTACACAGGTAGATTTGATTTTTATCAGCAATTTAGCACACAATCTGATCTGTCCCAACTGTCTTAATACAAACAGTATGTCTTTTTGTTGTTGTCTGTAGATTCTTTACAAGGTGGTATGGGATAGTCTGAAGAAAGCTGCTTCGGATTACAAATCCATCTCTTTCCCAGCTATTGGTACTGGTAATCTGGGCTTTAAGAAATTGGAGGTTGCCAAAATTATGACAGATGCTGTGAAAGAATTTGCCAAACAGAACACAAAGAAGAAACTAGATGTAAATTTAGTTGTGTTTCCAAAGGACAATGAAATGATGGAGGTGATATATGCTAATTATATACTCTGCTTTTCAGTGTTTGAGCCTTTGTTTAGTATTTTATACTCATCATGTTTTATTTTCATCCACCGCATAAATATTTTGTGCAGCACAGTTTTTAAAATTAATCATGCACAAAAGCAATTCAGCAGAATTTATTTTTTTTTCACTAATTTCACTAATGTTTAGGCTTTCGAAAACGAGATGAAAAAGAGGAAAGGAGAGGCAATGTCCCCAGAAGTACGCAATGACATGACAAGTGAGAAAAATATATAATGAAGTATATATGAAATATACTATTCATATTTACTAAAAATGTTCCTGCTTTCATAGTTTTACACTTTTGTCCGGGTTGCAATAGTATATATACTCATGAAAACTACTGAGATGAATGTTGTTACCTCATTCTAATATTTTCAGGCTTTGGTTCTGCAGCCAGAGAAACCACGGCAAATGAAACACCCACTGTTGAGTTCATCTCCAGGGACTCCAGAGCTCAGAGAGAAGCAAAATCGTGGACATTTAATATGCTAAACCCATCAGATAACATGATAATAAAGAATAACCATGTCATATATCTTGACCAAGGAGATCATAAAAACCTCCTCTCTCTCCAAACAAAGTTTCATGTTCATATCATGGAGTTCTTCAGGAATGGTAATGGTGGAATAACCATCACTGGAAACCCTTCAGATGTCAGTTGTGCAGCAATTGAGGTGGAGTCCATGCTTTGTAAGGCCCAGGAGGACTTCGCCCAAGCTGAAGAATGTGACATTCTGTTTTCTGTAGTTCGCTGGAGCTGTAAAGATGTACCTTGGATACAAACACCTGAAATCAGTGCAGTTTTGGAGAAAGCTTATCTGGAAGGGCATGAGAACTATGTGGTCAATAACCACAAGGTCAACTTCATGTCCTGGAGTTTGGTTGATGAATATGGGAAAAGCAGAAATGTGGAAAGGACATGTATGTACAACTACTAAAAACTGTAAATAAATTGTAGTCTAATAAAAGATGAATAGTTTTCTTAGTATAGTGCTGATGTTAAGTTCATGTCTCATAACATCTGGATGACCTGATCTAATCTTTTCTCCTTTACAACATAGGCCTGTTGGCTCCTTTCAAGACCTTTAACAATTCATTTTATGCAAGAGTACCTATGATCAGTAATGATTATGTTGAAAAAGAAGCAAGGAACACCTTCAGTGCTTGTGGGCTCTGTATTGTAAAGGTAAGCTGCGATCCCAGTCACAATGCTATATTTTTTTTCTGAGAGAACATCACTGTAGGCTTTCTTCATGTTTCTATAGAGCAGCTATTGTATGTTAAGCAAAAATTTGACTAACAAATAATATTTTGCTTATATTTATTTGCTTTTTGTCTTCATCTCTGTTCAAATATAACATACAAAGGCAGCAATGAGGAAGTTTAGCATGATGCTGTGATACTAAAAATATGTAATGGCATGTGGTTGCACTGGTTGTTACAGGTGGAGAAGCTAGAGAACATTATGCTACAGCAGCTGTTCGAAATGAATAGGCAGAGAGTGAAAGACCAACCGAAGCGCCTCTACCAGCGTGTGTCTGCTCAGTTCTGTGATCTCATCTGCAGAGTGGGCTTTCAGAAAGAGTTCGCCCCTCCTGCAGGTAACACAAATGTGAAGTCATTCAGAATAATTAGGATTTTGTGTTCTTTTCTGAAGGCATTTCTTGTTTAAAATGTTTTCCTTGATTTCTAGAGCAAAAGTATGGCAGTGGAATATACTTCAGCAGTACAGTGGATGGAGCCCTGAAGCTGTGGAAGGAGCAGAAACATGAGCAGTACATCTATATCATTCAGGCCCAGGTCCTCACTGGGACACACACGATTGGTTGTCCACAAATGATTTTGCCCCCTCCCTTAGTTGCAGACCCTTTGGATCGTTTTGATAGCTTGACTGACAAGGGGCAGACGCATATAATCTTCAGCGGTCAACAAGCTCTTCCTGAATACCTGATCATATGCAGCAGATCAACCCATGTGTAGTTGCACAGAGCAATATGCAATAACAAAGCACACTGGAATCAATCAAGCCACATTTTTGATTTTAAAAACATCAACTTCTAAAAACAAAGTTATCACACAAATAATACTGAACTATACACAAATAAGGAATAAAGGTCTTTGTAATCATTAGTCTAAATCACGTGTTACTGGATGAGTGATGATGATAATAGATGCCAGTGATTTTTTTAACCTTTATGTAACCTCCTTTGAACTGCTTCTTCTTTCTTTCAGACTAATCCTGACAGGTCTTGCCTTAATTGCTCTACTGTTGTTTGTTACTCTTAACATAGTCACATGAAATTTTGTGTTTAATATAAAAACATTTACAAACATTGGTGTTAGATTAAAATAGTAATTGTTTTCTTGTAATAAGTTCATAGTTATCGGCTTATTACAACAGAATGCAAATGAGGGGTTTCTGGTAGATTTATGTTTAAATTGATTCCTTAATTAATGTCATACAAATTAACTGTTTATTTTATCAGCAATCAAGGCCTTTCTATGCATGTGATGTGATTTGAATTACACTTAATGTTTTGACTCAAATAAATGCCAAATTTCAACAAAAATTTGTCATGATGACATTTATCTGTCCAATGAGCTATATAAAATGCTTTTCATAGACTAGAAAATATTTATTACAGAAATATAACAAGACATATATTTAACATTTGTAATGTAAGAGTTGCTCTACATAAAATGAGATAAAATACATCAGGGTCAAAATATTGAATAAATACTGATACCACCATTTCAAAAAAAAAAAAAAAAAAAAAGCCTTAGCATTAAAATACAATTCAAATTTTCATTCTACTAAGTAAAAAGAAACTTCGAAATTTTAAGGAAATATAGCTTGAGTCAGATCATTTTTCAGTTCAGCCTCAACACTGTTCCATACAGTATATGTCATGATAAATTATTTCACATATCATTTTTTTCAGAAGAAAGCTGATGCCAACAGAAGACTAACATGTCACATCACCTTGAATTCACCAGACACATGAAACCTGAATGACAGAAAAGAGTAATCTTGCTTGTCACAAGGCCTTGAGCCAAAGCATCGCAAAACACAAAGCCACATAAAAGTATATTTCCAATAGAATGTTATTGCTGTAGTCTGACCCTATTTATGAGTCAGTGGCTGGTCAGATCGGATCAGATTCTAGACTGAATACTCTAAACAAGTACACGTTTACATTTAATTCACATTTAGACCACTCTATGCTTTTGAGAACATGATTGTGCTACCACACACAGAGAATAAAAATGTTGTCTATACTTGACATGGCAATCATCAAACTATCCAGTAAAGGTCCGGGACTTTCAGAAATGAACCATTTATATGGTTAAAACAATTATCCACTGATGCTATGTGAGGTAGGAATATAACTAAACTATGTGTTTGTAAGACACATCTGTCTCTCATGCCTCAAAATGTTACATTACTGAACCAGCACAAGCTGATCTGTAGCCACAAATGAGCACATGCTGTCTCAACGTCCATATATATTTGGACACTGACATAATTTTCATAATTTTGACTCTGTATGACACCAGAATAGAATTAAAATGAAAAGATCAGGATGAAATTGAAGTGCAGACTTTGAGCTTTAATTCAAAGGGTTGAACAAAAATATAACATAAGATGCTTAGGAATTACAACCATTTTTATACACAAGTCCCCCCATTTTCAGGGGCTCAAAAGTAATTGGACAAATAAATATAATCATAAATAAAATGTTAATTTTTAATATTTTGTTGAGAATCCTTTGCAGGCAATGATTGCTTTAAGTCTGGAATTCAAGGACATCACAAAAGACTGGGTTTACTCCTTTTTGATGCTTTGCCAGGCCTTTACTGCAGCTGACTTCAGTTGTTGTTTGTTTGTGGGTCTTTCTTTAATTTTGTCTTCAGCAAGTAAAAAGCATGCTCAGTCGGGTTGAGATCAGCTGATTGACTTGGCCATGGCAGAATATGAGGAATATTCCACTTTTTTTACCTTCAAAAACTCCTGGGTTGCTTTTGCTGTATGTTTTGGGTCATTGTCCATTTGTACTATGAAGCGCCGTCCAATCAACTTTGCTGCATTTGGCTGAATCTGGGCAGACAGTATATCCCTATACACTTCAGAATTCATCCGACTGCTTCTGTCTTCCATCACATCATCAATAAACACCAGTAACCCAGTGCCACTGGAAGCTATGCATGCTCATGCTGTCACACATCCTCCACCATCCACCATGTTTCACAGATGATGTTGTATGCTTTGGATCATGAGCTGTTCCAAGCCTTCTCCATACTTTTTACATACAGGTTGATTTTAATTTCATCCGTCCAAAGAATGGTTTTCCAGAAGTGGTCTGGTCTTGTTTACACCTTGTGATGAACCCTCTGTATTTGCTCTCGTGAAGTCTTCTCTTGATTGTAGACTTTGAAAGTGGCACGCCTACCTCTGGGAGAGTGTTCTTCACTTGGCTGGATGTTGTGAAAGGGTTTTTCTTTACCATGGAGAGGATCCTCCGATCACCCACAACCGTTGTCCTGCATAGACGTCCAGGCCTTTTTATGTTGCTGAGCTCACCAGTGCGTTCTTTTTTTTCTCTGAATGTACCAAACTGTTGATCTGGCCACACCGAATGTTCCTGCTATCTCTCTGGTGGATTTGTTTCGTTTTTGAAGCCTAACAATTGTCTGTTTCACTTGCATGGAGAACTCCTTTGACCACATGATGTGGGTTCACAGCAACAGCTTCCAAATGCAAATGGCACACTAATCAACTCCAGACCTTTTACCTTGCTTAACTGATGGGTGGTACATATCAAAGAACTTTAATTCCTTAACCTTTCCTCCAATTTTGACGAGAATACACTCAAATTAAAGCTGAGTGTGCACCTTAAGCCCATATTCATTATATAACTGTAACTTGAATATGTTTTGATCAACGGCTAAAAAAAATTAAATTGTGCCTGTGTCCAAATGTATATGGACCTGACTGTATATTCACTTCTCATGAGGATGGATAATCCAAACACACTCACACACTCATTCACACAGATCACTCGGACTCTGAGATTTCCATGCCATCCACCAGTAGCGTGTGAATGATGCCATCTCGTCTCTTGCCGCTGCTCATAGCCTTAATGAAGCAGTCATGGTCACCCAGAGTGAAATGCGTCTCTGTGCCGTCATCAACAAACTCACCCTGAGGGAGAACAACAAGAGAGATGAAATGTTTTTCTCCTGAATGAATGGTAGTCACATATGTTGTGGAACTGGTACGTTCAGTAGGGCTGTGGCCACATCTACTTTGACATTGTCAAATGTCAGTGAAAAAAATCTAAACTATCCACATTTTTGTTTTTATCTTTGCCTTGTTGATTGTGTTAGGACACTTAATCTAACTTGTGTCAGATGATAGATTTAGAGTTTTATTTTGCTTATTTTATTACTGGTAAAATCCACAAGCAAGTAATTTCAGTCTGATGGGATTATTTTTTCCTCCACAGTGAACCAAGACTGCAGTATATATAATAAAAAGTGTTGTTGATCTAAAACTGAATTAAAATCTGATCAGCTGCTGTTTACTGAAGACACACTCACTTTTACACGAAGAGCAAGACCTTTATTGAGAGGTGCTACAGATTGCGGTGACCTAAGGTATCAGCTAAAATAAGACCTGGGTGGGGACTGTCATTATTTCTGTACAGTCATATCTTATATATATATATATATATATATATATATATACAGTAAGACAGACTTTACATTAAGGTTCAATTCATTAACATTACTTAATGCTTTAGGTAGCTTGAACTAACAATGAAAAATAATTTTTACAGCATTTATAAATTTGGGCTCATATTAAGTTATAAACTTTTTAAAACAAAGTTAATAAATAAAGTGCTCATTGTTAACTTATGTTCACTCCTAATTCATTAACTAATGTTACTTTACACAACTTGAACTGTTAAAAAGTAGAAGAAATTAAAATGGAAATTAGAAATCAACATTAACTACATTAAATAAATGCTTCAAAAATATTGTTAATTTAGTTCAAGATAATTAATGTATTAACTTATGGTAACAAATAGCAGTATTACAAAAAAAATAAATACAAAAAAACTAATAAAATGTTTAGAAAATAAATGTAAGTGAATATAGTAACTGCTGGACTTACAGCTGTTTCCATTTTCTGTCCATTGCACCATATATCCATGGAATCTTTCTCTGTTGATCAATTAGCAGGTTGCAGGATGAGTGATAAAGATGAAAACATCAATATAAACTAGTCTCATTGACTCACCTTCAGTGCTCTGATCTGTGACTTACTGTAAATTTAGGATCTCAGCATTATCTTATGTGTGTGATTGTGTCTTGTGCTGACCTTTTCTTGTTGGCATTTGACTTGTCTGTTCAGCCACATTGACTGTCAGTTATGAAATACACTAACTGTACATTACTGTTGTTTAAAAGCATAAGCCAAATGACCACAGGTCATGGTTAACCTGAGTGACAGGTGCCCATACTGGTACACAAAAATATGTTTTAATTTTAATAATCCATGATGTTATCACAGTAAAATTACATATTAAAAACATGCAACTGGGAAGAATTAAATGCACAATACTGCATTTTTCATCTGAAAAATGGGAGTTCTCTATATCAGCCTGTTGTCTCATTCTATGTTAGCTATCACTCCTATTGAAAATAAAAGTTGATATTTTAGTCAAAATGTATACTGTCAGGTTCAGCAGGACCTGTGATTGATAACCTACTTAGTGGCTAGTCTTTAAAAAATGTGTCCTAGTACACCACTTGTTGCTACACCCCTGGTACATAAGCCATATAAACACATAAATCAAAGGTCTGGAAAGTCCTTGGAAGTTTCTGTGTGATAGTTAAAAGTGTTATCTAACTAAGTCACATGCTCTACTTTCATGAGCTGATAAAAGTGCTAATGTTCACTAAAGCTTGGTATCCATCTGCTCACTAGCGCTCCCATGAAGTTAACAAGACTGTTTGAAAACGTTTGTGTTTTTATTACAAGAGAAACTCCTCTTATTGTTAAGCACTAATTATTTAAAGAGATTTGTGATCTTTTTTTAACCTTCTTTAACATTTAATCTAAAGTTAATCACTGCTGCTGACTGTGTGGCAGGTCACAGATGTTAAGTGAGAAAAGGCTTTCAGCATTTCAGAGAGCTGCTGTACTGCAATGGGAAAATAATGGATTGTGTTATTTATTGTGTTCATTGTTATCCACTTATAACAATGAACACAAAATGAATCCATGCCTTTGGTTTCTACATTCTAACAAAATACAGGAATCAGTATTGTCGAGGGAACAAGAGAAAAAAGCTTCATCACAGACCAATCAAATCACATATTCATTTGAGCAACCTGTGACCAGGTATTTCTTACCCAGAACCACTCTGCAGTCAATGCCATCAAGGTTGAGGAGCCATGTGCTGGTAACTTTGGAGCGATTCTCCATGTAATTCTTCAGGCTCTGTCCGTTAATCTCGAGAGTGTACTCGTATGTAAAGCCACTCACTGCATCGATGTTAATAGTGGCCTTTGTATTTGTACCACCCACATGAAAAGTCTCCTTTCCAACCAGTTTGAACATCCAATCTCTCCTTATGGCTTCCTGGGAAAGTTATGAACAAACATGTGAGGCATCAGCACTTCTTTTCCCATCATTATAATGAAAATACTCATGTCACATATTTCTAGAACACTATAGTCAAGATCATCAACTAGATAAATAAATAAATATTAAATACACAGCTCTGGAATACAGATTCAAAATGGCATAACTGACCGTTGTCCCTGGCTACTGATTTTCTACATTGATTTTCTTCAGTAAACTCAACAAATGGCCACAAACTAACTGCAACGTTTTCATTTATTTCCATCCTTGTTTTGGTCTAAATATATTTTTTAACAATCTATAATTGGCAACTCTATTTCTACATAGATTTTCTTTATTACATTCTAATATTACAAATGGGAACAAAGTGCAGCTTCTTAATTTGTTTCCAGCTTTGGTTTATTTGATTTATTTTTAAATAAATTGTCATTAGTAGATTCTACAAGTATGACTGAACCTCAACAAGTATTAGCCTGAGTGTCAGCTATTTGTACTAAAACTTTCTCACCTTTCCATCTATGTAAATGACCCGCTTTCCTGTGGTTGTGCCATGTTCAAATTCAATCCTGTGCACACCATCACTCAAAGCCACGTCCCACACAGCTACAAGATCTCCTGACATCTTCTGTCTTCCAGTGCCTAAAAGAAAAATCAATATAGACAGATGACTGAATTTCTCATAATAGCCAGTAATAATACTAGTAAACATGAGAATAGACTAAAATGTTTTGAGATGAGCAGAGAAGATGAGTACAGTGTACAAATAGATGAACGGATTAGAGAAAGTATGTACATATACATACACACACACACACACACTGTATATAAAGAACAAACAATATTATGTATAGTAGACATTTGTGCTGCTTAGTGATTCATTATTTGACTTAATTTACTGCTGTGAATCTGAATGAAATGATGATCCGTTAAATTTACAAACCAATATCACTATTTTGAGCGACATTAAAAGATCGAACGTCTGTCTGTCTTGTTTCATAACCAATAACGTTCAATCTAAACATTACCTATAATAATAAAGAGTAACGTAAAACACTGATAGCATTGTCAAACGCCTTGCGTAGAGAATGGAAAGAAATCGTGCCCTGAAAATGATTGGTAACACGATTTTCTATGGTAAGAATACTTTAAGAAATCTTGACAAAGTAGGTGGTTGGCGATGTGTCAGAGCCATTAAATCTGTGAACCTGAGTAAGCTGTCGGTCATTCAAAACACAAGAGTCAGAGCATTAAAGACAATAATAAATACATGTAGTTACCGATCCAAATCAGAGCAGAAATAAAACGCTTTTGTGTATATTTGATTAGCTTTTCCTCAAGGCAGAAAATAGTAACACAACTGACGCCAACAGCATCAACACAACTAGCTCCAAATTTAGCCAACAACAAATCTGCTCCAGCTAACAACGGTTACTATGGCAACAGCGTATTCTTCTTCTGTCCGCGTTTATGTCGGTTTAGACGCCACAGTAGACTCTACTGGCATCTGCTGGCAATACAAACAGAGCCCATGGGACGAATGCCACACATTCACTCAACTTTCAATGCATATATAAACGTTTACTGTTTACACATCCATATTCACGTACTAACATTCTCCAGCATACAAAACATACATTTCTTCAGACAACAATTCCTCTTTTAGCACAAATGTTCTGCATGTTCAGGACAGTTCGGTTTTCACATTCATCTTCAGAGCCGATGAGTACAGTGTACAAATAGATGAACGGATTAGAGAAAGTATGTACATATACATACACACACACACACACACTGTATATAAAGAACAAACAATATTATGTATAGAAGTAGACATTTGTGCTGCTTAGTGATTAATTATTTGACTTAATTTACTGCTGTGAATCTGAATGAAATGATGATCCGTTAAATTTACAAACCAATATCACTATTTTGAGCGACATTAAAAGATCGAACGTCTGTCTGTCTTGTTTCATAACCAATAACGTTAAATGCTAAACATTTCCTATAATAATAAAGAATAAAACACTGACAGCATTGTCAAATGCCTTGCGTAGTGAAGGGAAATAATTGTGGCCTGAAAATGATTGGTTACACGATTTTCTATGGTAAGAATATTTTAAGAAATCTTGACAAAGCGGGTGGTTGACGATGTGTCAGAGCCATCAAATCTGTGAACCTGAGCAAGCTGTCGGTCATTCAAAACACAAGAGTCAGAGCAGTAAAGACAATAATAAAGACATGTAGTTACCGATCCGATTCAGAGCAGAAATAAAACGCGTTTGTGTATATTTGATTAGCTTTTTCTGAAGGCAGAACATATGAACACAACTGACGCCAACAGCGTCAACACAACTAGCTCCAAAATTAGCCAACAACAAATCTGCTCCAGCTAACAACGGTTACTATGGCAACAGCGTATTCTTCTTCTGTCCGCGTTTATGTCGGTTTAGACGCCACAGTAGACTCTACTGGCATCTGCTGGCAATACAAACAGAGCCCATGGGACGAATGCCACACATTCACTCAACTTTCAATGCATATATAAACGTTTACTGTTTACACATCCATATTCACGTACTAACATTCTCCAGCATACAAAACATACATTTCTTCAGACAACAATTCCTCTTTTAGCACAAATGTTCTGCATGTTCAGGACAGTTCGGTTTTCACATTCATCTTCAGAGCCAAACTGTCAGAGCCAAATCTCACCTCTAGATCCATATATCATCAAATCTACGGACATAAAATAAGTGTTAGCCATCTGGTGGTGATTAGGTGCTATTGGACCTACAACTATGACGTCACTTTGTAGGCGGATCGGCTGTTGGCACGACACTGGTTCCCTCGACAAAAAGCCTATAGGATTTTTCCATAGGCTTTTGGACTATCGCAAATAAAATAAGCTCTGTGTTCAACCATAGTTCATGAAACTTACACGTTTTGTCCATCAAGATAATCTTCACAAAATAATATAACTTTGAGGAATTTTGAAGCCTAAATAAAAGCGCCAGAACTTAAAAGCTAAACTTAGGCTATAAACGAACAGCACCACGGTCGCTCGCCTTCAGCGTCACCACCAGCACGCTTCCCACAACTGTTTCAAACTTATTTTTAACACGTTTAAAAAAAAAAAAAATCCAAATATGAAAAAACGTTCGAGGATTTACGATGCTGATGACCGTTAAACGTGTCATCACAGTCTTGTGAAAAGGGTCCATTCTTTAGTTATTTTGAAATCGATTCATTTAATTATATACATAGTAGGTATAGTTTAATTGTAACTGTTTTCATAACCATTTTGTTTGGGAACCATCTTATTAACTTGAAATTCCAAAAAAAACGTTTTTTTTACTTTATTTTTAGTAGTTATGTTTATCGCAATTATTATTATTATTATTATTATTATTATTATTATTTAACATAACCTGTGGTGGAAGCCTCTCTACAATCTTTTCATTTTAGTAGTTATGTTTATCGTAGTTATTATTATTATTACTTTTATTATTATTTAACAAAACCTGTGGTGGGAACCTCTTTACAATACATACGACAACACCTGTTTTTACAGTCTATGGACAACACACAAAATAAAATAACATATAATTAAATATAGAAATTCAAGAACCAACCCCAATACATCTATAAGAAATAATGTATTTAACAAACAAAACAACTTCAGTTCTTTGTCATTTTTATTTCGGCTAGGGCTTTTGTCATATGAAGAAACCACGTGACGCACCGATGACGCAAAACTCCCGCGACGCAGAGATCCGTCGGCGACATTGAGGATCATCAGACTCACTGGAGTTTGTGAAGTTTCGCGATGGCGTTGCGGTTATTTCGGCTGGTTGTGCCCTCGGGTGCAGCAGCTTGGAAAGCAGTATCGCCTGTGGCGACGGTAAGATTGAAAAACAGCCTCTGCACTCCAGACAAAAGGTTGATCTGTTAGTTCGGGTCTCATATAGTCCATAGTCCTGAAGGACAACAGCAGAACTGCAGCTGTGAAAATCACTTCCTACTGACACATTAATGTATCTGCTCATATGTTTACTTAAGCAATGTAACATTTATATAAACGTGCATTGACGTTGGTTCAGTGAAACCCCGTGTTCATGTCACACTAGTTCTATCAAAACAAATTGTTTTGTTGTTTTGTATTTAAAACAAACGTGTCAGCAATCATTAATGGCTTGACACTATATATAGTGATATTGCAGCTGATCATGACTGTACACGCTGTCAGACAACATCAACCTATTTGCAGGAAAAATAACAGGATGTTTTATACACTTAAGGCTCAAATCCACACAAGTGCTGTCAGTAACCTGCGGTATGGATGGTGGGCTTATGCTCTGGGGGAGAGGACAACCTCCCACTTCAAGGAAAACAGCAAAATCATTTCCATTGATGGCAACTTGGCATGTGGAAAGGGAGTGCTTGCACAAAAATTGGCTGATAAACTCGGTAAGACAATGTCTGGCTCTCTAGTTTTATTTTTAAATTGTTCTTTTATATGTATATGTTTATTTATTTATATAATGTAATGTGTGTGTGTAAAATTAAAAATATTAATTCAGTATTCAATGTTTCTCTCATCAGGGATGCTGTACATGCCCGAGCCAGACATACACTATGTGGACAAAATGACAAAGGAGAAAGTTCCTCTAGATAAGACTTTTAATGGAAACTGCAGTCTGGAGAAGTTTTACTTGGAACCCAAAGCCAGTGACGGTAACTCTTACCGCCTGCAGTGTTGGATGTACCTCATGAGGCTGCTACAGTACTCTGATGCTGTTGAACACCTGCTCTCTACAGGTGACCAAAGCTGTTTGATACTTAATAGCTGTTCACTTATATTGATCGAAATGAAAACCTTACAGCACAAACGTATTACCCTATATAAAAGTTGTGAGAACACATTGGGACTCCAGTTTGTTTATGCTATTCTTTTTTCTCTGTTTCCCTCTCTCAGGACAGGGAGTTATTCTGGAACGATCTCCATTTAGTGACATTGTATTTTTGGAGGCCATGTTCAAAGAAGGCTTCATCCGAAAGCAGTGTGAGTGATTATGTCCGAAATTCATAGTGTAAAATGATATGAAGGTGAAAAAAATGCTGGTGGTCATATTACAGTGGATAATATATCAGAGCTGTTTTTTGTTAATTGAAATGAAAAGGATGTATGATATATGTTGCTATTCTGCAGGTGTGGATCACTATAATGAGGTTAAGGGTGTCAGTATCTGTGAGTTTCTGCCCCCTCATCTGGTCATCTATGTGGACTTACCTGCTGAAGAGGTCCAGAAAAATCTCAAGGCATCAGGAAAGGTTTGTGTGAGGAGGGGAACACATTGATTTGACTCGTTGTTGGTTGAAATAATTAATCTTTTGATTTTAATGTACAAAAATAAGAACACAAAATAATTTCTTAATTATTTGAATTTGATTTGTTTGCTGCATGGGGGGTTTTATACATTGTATAATTGGGGAAATAATTGACAAAATATTTTTGCATTTCCACGTGAAGTTAGCCATGCTGAGTTAGTCAAGCAAGTTATGAAATGGATCTGTTTTTCTATTCCAGCTTTCATGCTAAAACTATCTCAACTTTCTGACTAATAAGGGTTCTGAGTAAAGAATTAAATATTTCAATTTTTAATAATAATTTTTTTTAATTTTGACAAATTCAGGAAGAGAGTATTAATTGGTGATTGAATGACCAACATCACATCAGTAAATTTGATTTGTCATTGCCTTACTTATACAGTCATACCTCCAGAATGTTCCTTTAAGCTACCTAAAGAGCATTGAGACGGCGTACAAGAAGAACTTCCTTCCTAAAATCAGGTCAGTAGCTAATCTACTACATTTGTCTTTGTAAATGTAACTGATAAGTACTGTAATTATTTTACAGAAAAAATAATATATACACACACACACACACACGTTATTAATATAGTATAATTGTAATAATATTTTATAGTATCATTATTCATATTTTTCTATAGAATTACTATTGTTACAAAAAGTAACAACAGTAATTAAAATAAAATTAATTGTTTATTTAAAGTAAGTTCAAAGCATGTGCATTTTCTGGTGGTGTGAGTATATCAAAGTTTCAGTTTTAGTTTCAAAAACCTGTATCTCATTTTCAGTGAAGAGGCAGAGGTCCTTGCCTATGACGCAACCCAAGCCCAGGACATTGAGAGGGTAAGGATCGAACCTGTGTATGGAGCACATTGAGGCAGACAAATGTCACTGCTCTGACTCTGTTTTTTCTTTTCAGGTTGTGGAGGATATCGAGTACCTCAAGTTTGAGAAGGGTCCTTGGCTGGAGCAAGATGACGTCACTTTCCACCATATTCGAATGCTGTGAGTGCTTGATTTATTTACATTTCACTATTTTATTTCTTTCTGTAGACTGTTCCTTGGGCTGGCTGGAATTATTATCTGTCATTTAGTTCTGGTTGGCCACATTAATAAATTTCTCTTGATATCATCCATACTTGCTTTAAATTTTTCACCGAGATTATATATATTTTATTGTAGGGTACAATGGGGCTAAAGGCACACCTTAAGTAGTGCTTTTCACTACTCCTATAGTGTATTGATTGCATAAATAAATGTGTGTGTTTTTGATGGAGCAAAACATTTTGTGGGAAAATAATTCATAAAGAGATTTGCTTTAAAAGTTTTGAAGCAGATGCCATGTTATTATGACTTCACAGTAATAACAATAAAATTATATGTATATATAAATATGATTAAATTCACATTTTTAATTATGATGGTTACATTATAAATATGGTTATTATCTCTAAGGTGGACACGCAACCTAATAAATGATATTAACCATCTGAATCTAATCATGTTATGTCAATAAATGGAAAAGTCAGCCAGCTATTTATCATCTTCTCAATTATTGTGTCTTTAGCATTAACAGCAAATACAATATGTAAATGTAATTACTTTGAACATAAAAAAACCCTGAATATTAGATCAATTTAGTGCAGAATAAACTTTGCTGCAAGTGCATTGCTGTCTGTATCTTCAGAAAAATTTGAATGTGTACAGTGAAAATCAGACATTTAAAGGTTCTGCGGTATGTTTTTGTGCCATCTAGAGGTTCAAAGAAAAATAAAAGCAAATGTGGATTTTCTCTCTTTTTCCCCATTCATTAGGGTGGAGGACAAGCAAAGAGTAGCCAACATGACCTGCATCCCCAGATATCTTCCAGAAGTCACAGTTGGTGCTCATGAGTTTGATGCTGCCTACTATGCTTTCAAATCGGTATGTGCCCTCCACTGAAACTGTGCCACTAAATGTAAAAGACTGATCACAAACCTCATGTAATGGGGTGCATGTGCTTAAGACCTAATTTTGGCCATGTGCAACTATGTCTGAACTCTATTAGC